AGCGCCGTACCTGGCAGCAGTGAGGGCGATGGCGAGGTTCATCCGTGCGTCGTTGTGCTGTCCTGCAGCGGGGACGGGACCGGGGGAAGGACACCAGTCACCTCCAGCCACGGACTCGTGGTATGGAAGTGTGTCACAACCGATCTGTCACATCTGTCCCTGTCACATTGAATAGGCGTGATGGCTGCTCGCGTCTAACGAGTTATTTAAAGACACATCCCCTCCGACCGCCGCACCGGCGGCAGCAGGCTGAGCCGTGCTCCCACACCGCCTTCCCTCACCACGAATCCCAGAATGACTCCTCGTTCCCCTCCCGTTTAGGGGAGGGCAGACCACTTTCTTCACCTATTCCCATGCAATCCTGCCGTCCTTCTGTCACGGCACCCACACTTTGCTTCCAGAGTCCCAGCGGCACTAGCCAACAATTCCTACCAGGAACGTGCTACCTTCCGCACCCGAGAAACCTTTCCGAGACTGGGCCACATCACAAGCTTTCCGTAACTGTTTTTTCTTGTAAATGCATTTTAACTTCCCAACGTACAACAGAAAAGCATCCAAAAAAAAAAAGGGGAGAAGTAAGCAGACAAGAATTAATGAAGGATTCTTAACATATATCATTAAAGATTTATTACTGAAATTCCCTCGTTAAAGAAAACCAAGAGAGAGGCGGAGGGACCGTGAGGGGAAGATGATTAATTACATCGAAATACTGGCTTCACCTGAGACTTTTCCTATTTATTATTGCCACTGAAGTTAAAGTCCTGGATGCTGGCTCGCAAGAATTACTATACATTGAAGGGGCCAGGCTCTGTGTGTCCTGAATAATTAATTTACGAGAGGGCTAAACTTCCCGAGCTTCGGTTCACTTCCCCACGTGTTCGGACCACTTCTACCGAAGATAATACTGATAAAGTGATAAATGGGTAATAGATATTGTTGTTGATTTATGTTGCCAGCATTCCCAACGTTCAGTATAAATGGTTTATGTAAAGTTTGGTCCTTCTGATTCTGCCTGTGCCATCTCCAACGGCTGCGCAAATAATCTGTTCCTCGCTAAAAGGGCAAAGTTATAAAGATGGGATCAATGGCCTCGAAGGCAGCACCTCCCCTCCCCAGACGGCTCATTCCAAGGCAGCCCAGACGACCCAGTGCCATCAGTCTTCAGCTGCGGGGGAGAAACAGGCAAAGCCTCCCGCAACGGGAACATGATAAAGCACCGATGAAGAAACCAACAGTAACTCCAGCTCAACTGAGCACACAATGCCCAGAATAAAGTGCAGAAGAGAACAGCAAAACAACTGAGCGAGATGTCAAGGAAAGTTGGGGATGCTCCATCACCCGGGATGCGCGAGCCTAAACCACCCGTCAGACGTGGCAGGGAAGTCACTAAAGGCACGCATCGACGTTTGTGCCGCGGCAGCGCCAGGGCACGGGTAAAGCGACCTTGGGAGCTTCACCTGGAAGCCGAGCGCTTCAACGCAGGGTTAGCTGAATCGCGAGTATGGAGGGAGCACGAGGCAGAAAAAGACAAAGAACAGGGACAAGCTGCGTTACAGTACCTGCTTCTGTAAAGCAGACTATGGATCACGTTCCGGAGTCACCCAGGAAGCACTCCCCCAGCCCAAAGCCGAAGGCTGTCAGGGCGCGTTGCTCTGGAGACGCCCCTTTACTGGGCAGCTCGATTCGGGGACAGCCTGACCCATAGGACACTGCAAATCCTGGCTGTAGAGGACAAGTGACCCAGCACCAACGGCACCCTCCAGCCGTACATCCATGGTAGATGAAACCCTGGGGTGCCCGCTGCCGTGCCGTGGGATTTGCTCTTTTGCTGCAGAACCCCAGGGCCACAGGGGTTTCCTTGGCTCCTTTCTGATCCTCCACCAGCCTCTTGCCATCGGTGCCTGGGGGGTACCCGACAGGAACTGGCCTCTGGCTGACGCGGGGCGCCATGCAGGGAGACGGCGCGATTTGCGGCGCTAGCCAAGACCCGCGCTGGCCTACGGCAAGTCCTACTGTCCGAATCCTGCAAGCTCACCTCCTCCTCCCGGCTTCACCACTGATTTGCCCAGAGAAACCCCCTGCTGTTACGCGGTTCTCAGCTGCCCGACAGGAGCTCGCAGTGCCTGTGTAACGCATCCGTGGGAAGAGGACTGGGGAATAACCAGTTCCCGATTACCTCCCCATCTAGAAAACCCCACCGGCTTCAGACTGACGTGTCCTACAGCGCAGTGCCCTAGAGCACTGCGCAGCGCGAGCAGAGCTCCGCAGCCGTCTGGACCTGAGAGAAATGAAGAGTGACTTCCCAGCTCAGACACTTGTCACCTGTGGAGAGTAACACTGCAACAGCTTGGTAGCGACCGGCTCACAGCGCAATAGGTTTTGTGCTAGGGAACAGCTTTTTCGGGGTTTTTTAAGCCCTCCAACTCCCATGTGCATGTTTTCCCCCAGACAATTACTTTAAAATCCCACACTTCAGATGGAATGGTCGTTTTTTCTTGATGCCTGAAGAAGTGGTTCTGTTCCTCCGTGCCCACCCCCCATTACGAAGGCACCGCAGCTGGGTCAGTTCTTACCAGAGCACCATTCACAGCTGACAAAGCCTATTTTCTGCTGATTAAAGTCAAATTAGCTATTTACAGGTGTGCTGCTTTGGAACCAGGAACGTTTATTTCAAAGAGATGAGTATGTGCCCTGGTACGTGGATGATCCTTACTGCTCTAGAGGGAAACAGAGGGATGAAGCCAAGCAAAGATTCTGCACCTCAACCCTTCTGACTTCTGAGTTCAAGGCCATTCTCCCCAGGTACGACACAGAGATCCTCCAAACCCAAGACAAAAGTACAGAAGAGAACAGCAAAACCTCCAAAGCTTCACCTCCCCCAGAGCAAAGCTGTCTTGACACAAGCACTGTCACCACATCCAGGAGATACCCAGGAATCCCGAGGCATAGAATCATGGAATTGTTTAGGTTAGAAACAACAAGCCCATCAAGTCCAACCGTTACCCCAGCACTGCCCAGGCCACCACTGACCCCTGTCCCTGAGCGCCTCGTCCACACGGCTCTGAAACCCCTCCCGGGATGGGGACTCCCCCTCCCTGGGCAGCCCCTTCCAACCCCTGACAGCCCTTTCCGGGAAGGGATTTCCCTACTATCCAACCTAAACCTCCCCTGGCACAACTTGAGGCCGTTTCCTCTTGTCCCATCCCTTGTCCCTTGGGAGAAGAGACGGACCCCCTCTCTGCCCCCTCCTCTCAGGGAGTTGTAGGGAGTGATAAGGTCGGCCCTGAGCCTCCTCTTCTCCAGGCTGAACCCCCCAGCCCCCTCAGCTGCTCCCCACAGGACTCAGTCGTGTGATAAAAAGGAAGGTAACCAAAAGCCTCTATGGAAGGTCCTGGATCACCCACTTAAGAGAGTTCCACACCCATCGTCCTCCACCAGCGCCCCACAGCACAACAAAGAGAACAGTTACTCCCCTTGCTACCAGAGGTAACCTCTCCATGATGCCTTGGGGCTCCCTTCCAAATGTTGTAAGCCAAAAAGTTATCAAACAACAGCAGAATGGCTAAGCCAAATGAACTCAGCATCCTGCTCCGTGAAGGAGTGAGCTCCCAAAGATCTCCTGATAACCTGCAGGCAATACTCTGAGATTATAACCGTGGCATTCGCCAACAACAGATGCTCATGAACCCCCTGCCCTGGAGAGGCCACTGCATCCAACCCGAGGGCTGGATGTGAGCACTGCTTGTCGCAGGCAGTCAGCGCTCAGCTGGATGCATCGCGACGGCGGGGCGGAAGGCACTCGGACCTCAGCAGCTTTGGAAGAGCCAGGAGCCAACTCACCTAACATGCTGAGGTTTTTCTGCACCCTCTTCTGTGATACCTCTGGAAAAGGATTTAAGCATCTTATTTATTTCTGGCATGAACAATGGAAAGAACGGTCAGTCTCACTGTTCAGTATTGTCACCTGCGTGTAACACAGTAACCCTCAATGTTGTTAAGGGCAGTCAACCTGGCTTTTAACAAAACACTGGCCTGGGTGCTTTCACTAAATTATCACTGAATCCCCTACAAAACCCCTTCTGCTCGGAAGGCACACTGCTGCGTGCTGCTGAAGACACTGCGTGCGTAAAGGCCTTTTGTGTCCTACACCACGCTAAGACCAACAGTGATGCCACTGGGTTTATAATTTCTTTTCATGTGTAATTTAGGCACATTCTATTTTCATTCCTTAGTAGCAAGTGTTGTATCTCTCTTCGAAGACGAACAGACAATGCTTCCGTTGGCACTAAAAGAATCCTCCCACAGTGCGCGCAGCGTACGTTCAGTTTTATTTTTATGGACGCTGAACCACAGCCAGCAGTGGTAAGGAAGCCCACAGACTGTCAAAAACGTTTGTGGCCAATGCGGTGGGGCTGTGTGAAAACCCCGGTGCTAATACGGCACTCTGGTAGTTCCGGTCTCTTCTGCCCGGTGTCCGTGCCAACACCGGTTCCGTTCGTGCCAATGCCTGCTTTCTCCCCGTACCTCTGTCCAGCTGAAGATCAGCAGCACACAGTGCCTGCCGGGTTCTTTTTAAGGAGCTCTCCTAATCCTAAGAGAGTAACTTTGGTTCAGGCTGACGCCCCAAGGCCAAGAGCTGACACTGTGTCGCCGAGTATAACAACGCACACGAGCGTCGCGGCCATGGCCCCCAACGCTCTCCGGCTCCTACCGCAGCAGCGCAGCCCTAACAGGCGGCCTGGCGAACTCTTGCTCCAAAGAGCAGGTCGGTCCCTGCTGCAGACACGAATCATAGAATCACAGAATGGTTTGGGTTGGAAGGGACCTTAAAGATCATCTAGTTCCAACCCCCCTGCCATGGGCAGGGACACCTTCCACTAGACCAGGTTGCTCAAAGCCACATCCAGCCTGGCCTTGAAGACATCCAGGGATGGGGCATCCACAGCTTCTCTGGGCAACCTGTCCCAGTGCCTCCCCACCCTCTCTGTGAAGATTCTTCCTGACATCTAATCTAAATCTCCCTGATTTCAATTTGTACCCGTTACCCCTTGTCCTATCACTA